AGGAGTGTGACTCAGTGGTAGAGCATATGCTTAATATGTTGAAGCCCTGGATTTGATGCCCAACACCTAGAACCAAATAAAAACCATGAAAAGGACAGGACAATATATCTCTTTTAAAAGTTTGGTGTGTAGCTTAGTGGATAGAGCTCCTGGGTGCCACCCATCATACACAAAGAGGTTAGAGTGAGCCTTTAAGCTTCCCTTTGGTTCTAAAGTATATTATGTATTTACATTGCTAATTCACATATTCACGATGGCATATTACTTTTTTCTTTTGTTTTTTATATTATTTTTATGTGTATGTGTGTGTTGCCTGCATGTCGGTAAGTGCGCCCATGTCGTGCAGTGCCCCTGGAGGACAGAAGAGGTTGTTGGATCCCCTGGAACTGGAGTTACAGACAGTTGTTAGCTGCCATGTGAGTGCTGGGATTCGAACACGGGTCTTCTGTAAGAACAGCCAGTGTTCTTAACCGCTGAGCCATCTCTCCAGCCCCGGCATATTACTTCTCAATATTAAAATTATCTGATTTTTTCAAGTCCACAAATTGAATCTCTTTATTTCAATTTTCTTGTTACTGTTAATTGTTTATTTGCTTTTGAGACAAGGTCTTTCTATGTGTAGCCCAGGCTACCCTCAGACTTGCACTTCTCTTGCTGTCTGTAGCCTCCTAAGTGCTGGAATTACAGACAGGTCTCACTCTTACAGTGCCAGGTTTCTGGGTCTCTCTAAATGTTTGCTTTTGTACTGATTTAAATAGGCGCTACTTCTTTCTTGGTAATATATTTTCCTTCCATCCCTGTTCTGGAAGTTTTTCTTTTCTATCACCTACTTTTCCAGGCATACAGTGTCCTCCATCCACTGATACCCAGCTCCCAATTCCTCTCAGAGGTTCCCTTTCCCATCTCAGACCCCATGGGAAGAATTTGTCTCTTGCTTTCTGTTCTTCATATGACGTTATAAATGTATTCATCTTAGGATGGGGCTGTAGCTCCTCTGTAGCGTGCCTGCTTAGCAGACACAAAGGCTTGGGCTTGTTCCTCATACCCCAACCAGGTGTGGTAATGCTTGCCTGTAAGCCCAGCATTTGGGAGGTAAAGGCTGGAGGATCTGAAGTTCAAGTTCACCTCCAGCTACATGCAGTTAGATGCCAACCTAGAATGCATGAGACCCTTTCTCAAAACTTTTTATTTTATTAGG